ATTAAATTAAAGTGCCACAAAAGTAGCAACCACTCCACTATTAATTAATCGGATAAAATACAAAATTTGAATCAATTAATTTTCTCACAAATGGGCCCGGCCCACGAGCCCCGCGGTCCAATCTTGACTATATATATATTTATATATATATGTACACCTAATGACCCAAGCCAATGTTAAGTCCATTCATAATTGGACCCAATCCAACCAATTAATTCTTTTATTCATAAATGTATCACATTGCATTTATGGAGGTGGAGTCTCTTTGTTTTTCCAACGTGGGATTAACTCTCACATTCCCCTTCTTCTTTCTCTTTCACATTCACACACCAACATTTTAGTCCCATAACTAGTTAAAATAATTCAATAAGTGAAATTTTCTTTGCACATTTAGTCATCCGGCGCGGAGATGCCTCTAGCCACACCTACCGACAATGCATTCCGCCACCGCTGACATTTCTTGCCATACCTGCCGCCGTCAAACACGCTAGCCGCATCCGCATTTGCCCTTGATTTTCATTTATCTACATATCCGCAGTTGACGATCGCCGCCGAAAACATGCCTAGCCGTGCCCGCTGCCAAAAACATCCCTAGCCGTGCCCACCACCGTCAAACACGCTAGTAACTTCCGCCCTTGATTCCTCTTCACCCTTATATACTAGGGAAGTTCCCACACATTTAGCAATGTGGAAAAATATTCAACACTCCCCCCTCGAGATGATAGTCTCGAAAATCTATACATGATCCAAACCCAATACGGGCACCATGGCTCTGATACCATGTTAAAAAGGGATCCGGGCATCCAACCTAAAACCAATTGGTGATAGGTGGAGTGGCCCTTCACCCTCCTTATATATTAGGAGAGTTCTCACACATTTAGCAATGTGAGACAATATTCAACACTTCTATCTACAAATCCGCAGTTGACGACCGCCGCCGAAAACATCCCTAGCCGTGCCTACCACAGTCAAACACACTAGTCACTTCCGCCCTTGATTCCTCTTCTATCTACACATCCGCAGTTGATGATATCCCACTACAAAAAAATATCAATTTTGTAACAAGATTTTTTCGTTGTTAAATCCACTTTTCCGTTACTAGTGATATTAGAGATGAAATTTGAGATGGAATTACGTTAGCTACGTGAACTTTAGGAACGGAATTCCGTTACAAGTATACTATTTTTTTGTAGTGTCCGAAGACGACATATTTGACCGCACCTGCCGCCGCCAAACACGTTTTCGGCCTCCGCCCTCGATTCCTCCTCTATTATACCTCCGTAGTTGACTAGTATTCCAATGACGGAATCAATTAAGTGAGATCCCGAGTCTTCAAATTAATCCAAAATAAAGAGAAGAAAAGCACATTAAGTACCATGTGTGCCAAGAAAGGTAGCAAATTTCAACAATGAGAAGCTCTTTCGTCCAAGCGGAGACTCATTAAGGTATTTCATTCGAGGTCCATGTTTTAGGGGACTCCTATTTGTTAATCCCATGCCTATGGGTGTCAATCCGGTTTTAAAATTGATAAAAGTTATTTGGATGTCGATCGTAACTATTTTGTATTATTAAATGCAGAGGAATGTATTTTGACGGATGAGGATTTTGCTAAAGTTTATGGTCTTCCATATGGTTGTGATAGGACCCCTATATCGTTGATTGAATGAGTTTTTTTTATTATGGTTATACCGATGAATTTGCTAAAAAGTATGGCCTAATAGGGGATGATCCAAAATATATAAAAGATGATGATTTGAATAAACTAATGAAAAATGAAAAACATTGGTGAGGAAAGTAGACTTCTAGAGAATCTACGCGGCGTACTGCATTTGCACCTTACTGCCAGTCGGTTCAAATGCCCAGATTAGCCATTACTATATCTTGAATTTCTAAAGACTAAAAAAATAACATAAGTAGAAATACAAATTTAATGGAATCATAAATTAGGGTTGGGATCTACTGCTATCAACACCATAGATTTAACTGAATGTCTAACATTCCTTGAATTACAAAAATTAATCTAAGGCTTTATAATTATTTTGGGGTATAAAAATAATTTAATTACTATTAATTTATATAACCATTTTCTTGATTTTTTCTTCTTCTTTCCTATTTCTCTCTTAACTTTAATTCAAGGGAGGAAAAACAAAGCAAAATTGTCCAACAAGATCTATGGACGAAATCGATGGAGACGTGCAAAATCTATTTGTTTTAATTCCAATCTCAATTGATCGCTCTAAAAGCAAATGAGACATAAAAATATTGAAGTTCCAAATATTTTTCCAATACTAGATGACGAAGTCAAACTTTTTGTATAGTTTTTTAAGATTTAAAGAATAACCAAACTATTAGAATCTCGTTTTTATCTGTTAAAAATCTTGATAATATGTATTATCAATTGTTTTTGTATCAAAATATTTAAACTGATGTTAATTAAAATAAATAGCATTTCGTTCAGTTAATTTAGCATTTATATATAAATGAAGAATATTTCATACTATATTATATAATCTAATACAAAATTCAGTATTTTCTAAATTGAGTAAGAACATTTTAATATTCAATAGACAACATATTATTTGACGCTTTTTAGCATTTCCTAAATCGTGTAACAATATTTTAATATTGAATAGACAATGTATTATTTGACATTTTTCAGCATCTAATATAAATATGATCAATTGATTGACATATGATATAATACAAAAACTAGAGGATGCTTACAATTTCTATTATGATTATGCGTATAATGTGAAAGTTTGCAATTAGGAATAACATGAACAAAAAACTTAAAAAATGACTTGTATCATATACACTATATGGAATATTATTGTAACAAAATAGGGTATAAAGAAGACAACACTTTGAAACCAATTTAAATGAAGTTCATTTAGCAAAAAATTAGGAAAGATCTGAACATGTCGTTATAATGAGACAAGAACATATTTATAATGAGACAAGAACATATTATAATGTAATATACAGTTTCAAGTAGACAGATAAAGTGGAACATAAAGAGTGTTTGAACGAATTAGTGTTCATCACAAAGTTAAATAATAATTAAACTATTAGCATCTATTTTACTTAAGTTTAGCATTTTAGTAATATGTATTAACATTCATATTATATTAAAATACACAAATTCTTGTTAATTAAAAAAAATGGTAAACTGTTTTTTTAGTCTTGTATCTAACCCCCTTATCATTTTAGGACTTTGAGTGGACCCTGTCTGAAAATAGTCCCGTAAGTAAAACTTTTTCGCTAAAATTATCCTCCGTGCCGGACCATGCCGACCCTCCGTTACTGACGTGGCGCTGACACGGTTGACATGTCATCGCCATTTAGAATGTCTTGGTAAACTATTTTTTTAGCTTCTAACTTCATTTATCATTTGTAGGACTTTAAATGGACTATATCTGAAAATAGTCTTGCAAGTAAATTTTTTTCGCTAAAATAGTCCTCCGACGTGGTATCTACGTGGCGATGACATGTCAACCGCGTCAGCGCCACATCAACAACGACGGGCCAGCATGGCTAGTCCGGCATTGAAAGACCATTTTAGCAAAAAATTTTTACTTACAGAACTATTTTTAGACATGGTCCACTTAAAGTTCTAAAATGATAAAGGAAGTCAAATACTAGACGAAAAAAAATATTTACACTAAAAATAATTAGGATTATGTTTCATTGATTTAACCATTTATGTGTGCATGAAGGAGCATTTTGTACTATATTATTTAATGCGATATTAATATGATTAAATACAAAATTCAATATTTTCTACATTATGTGACATTATATTTAAACAAAAACTATACTCTTTGACATTTTTAATATATAGTATATACATTATTCATATTTTGACATATAATGAATTTCTTAATATAAATTACATGTTAAAATACTTATATTATTGTCAATTATGTGAAAATATTTTAATATGTATTTCCATTCATTAATTTATTAAAATACTCAAATTAATTGTTAATTAAAATAAATAAGCAATTCGTTTCAATGACTTTAGCATTTACACACACGTGCATGAAGAATCATTTTATATTATAATATTTTTGATTGGATATATTATAATATTAAGCTTAAAATTTGATTGGATTAAAAAAAACTTAAAAAATTCTTAAACCTTCAAATGTGCCATCTATGAAAAAGACAATCATAACCCCAACTAATTTAAAACATCTATTTATTATTAAAAAAAAAAAATGAACGTTGAAGATGTGATCAACACCCTGCTAATGGGAAGCCATCAACAGGGATCCAAAGCCCATAAAAAATAATATGTGAAATCATGTATGTCTAAATATCCAAACCTATCTAGCACAATATAATTTCAACGTACAATTGATATATTATCCTTAATTAATCTTAATCTTTCAATTATACACGTACATATTTAGTTAACACAATGCTAAAACTTTTGGGTATCAATATACTTGTTATATTATATAGGGTAAACTGTTTTTTAGTGCCGGAACTCGACCTCTTTATCATTTTAGTCCCGTAAGTGGAGCATGTCGCAAACTAGTCCCATAAGTGAAAGTTTTTCGCTGTTTTAGTCCTCCGGCGCCGGAGACGCCCGCGTGGCTCTCCGGAGATGACGTGTCCGCCAGGTCAGCAACACCTGGCGGACACGTGGATTTACTTTTTTTTTTTTTTTTTTTTATTTTTATAATTGGACCAAATAAAAAAAAACAAATAAAATTAAAAATAAATTAAAAAAAAATTTTTAAAAATGAAAAAAAAAAATCCACGTGTCCGCCAGGTTAGCGACACCTGGCGGATACGTCACCTCCAGCGAGCCACGTGGGCGTCTCCGGCGCTGGATGACTAAAACAACGAAAATTTTTCACTCATGGGACTAGTTTGCGACTGGCTCCACTTACGGGGCTAAAATGACAAGGGGTCTATTACGGGACTAAAAAAACAGTTTACCCTTTATTTATATATATATATATATATATACAAAAAACCCAGATAAATCATGACAAGAATAATCATATGGATTGTGTTGTTACAATGACAATGCAATAGTACATAGATAATGGAATTCCATTGCACACAAATAAGAGTACATAGATGATGGAATTCCATTGCACACAAATATATTCTTGTTTTCAACTAAAACAAGAACAAAGAAAGAGTATGAGTACTTAATAGCATCCTTCACCTCAAGTCATTTCAGCAGCGACAATAGTGGTGGTAGCAGCTTTCTTCATCTCTAACAAGGTGTCTTCGAAACACTTTGCTAGAACTTTAGGGTCCGGAATCATATTTTTCGCCACCGAAATTTGCATATCCGCATATCCGGCATAGCTCACCATATGCATTGTTATCGCCTACACGAGGTCAATTTTCAAAACTTGTTCATTGATCAAAACTACATGAAGAAATTAATCACCATATATATATATATATACTACATGAGGAAGGGTGCTCGATGTCACACGAATGTACTTGACGGCGTTGCCTGAAAATGTTATTTTCTCTTCCGATCCGACCATATTGGAGATGGTAAACGTCATGTTACAGAAGATACGATAAACAAAGGTACTAGTGAGCTGCAAATCAAGAAATAAACAAACATTTAGGGTCAAATGATCATTGATGAACTTTAACTAACCGGACTTGATAATGAAATTAATTAATGATAGAGCGGTCATGAATTCAACCTTAGTCCCGAAGAAATATGTGACCAAAAAGGAGGCTACATAAGTGAAAAGGGCTTCCAATGAGAGTTTCTTCTTGTCAATCATTGCTTTAGCTCTCTTTACAGAGTCGAGTGGATTCGATCTACACTTGTGGTAATAAACAGATAAAAGAATCATCCCAAATCTATTGCCATACTGAGGGTTGGCATGGAAATTGTTTAGACTTGATGAGTCATGTTGTCTTAAATTTACCATCTCAGCTCCAGTGACTCGGTCACCTTCTTTAAAACCTACTAAACCACAACAACAACAATAACAATGGCGACGATGATGACAACAAAGTGAAAAAAAATGTATTAATGTAGAAAATGTTAGGATTCTATAAAGAGACATTTTTTTATTACCGTTAGTTGATGACCTGGTGTCTAAGTACCTTGAAAGACCACTTGATATTATCCCGAAAAGAACATCGTTGATTGTCTGTTCAATTTTATTCAAATTAATTGACCAAAATAAAATCATATCATCTTAAAATACCATTAAAAAATATTAAAAATAATATTACAAATAATAATAATAATAATAACCAGCTTTGAGATCATTTAAAGTATACATAAAACATCATTTTTCATCCAAAAATTGATGTTTGATTGTTAATTTAGATCTAATTATGCATGTTTGATACACCTAAAAGAGGGGTACGGGTTGGACTTCTGACCGTGACCGTGAGGTCATGGGATCAAACCCACAATGCCTCAGGTCACCTTGGGGTTTATCCAGTGCGCACTTTCGGGTAGCGGATAAAAAAAAAGAGGTAAAGTAATTTAAATAGTTTTTTTTTAATAAAATAAATAAATAATTGCTCGATCCTTTATTTTACAATTTTTTTGTAAAAATAAGATATTGATTTTTGTTCAAAAAATAGTAAAAATGAAAAATTGATCAATTATTTATATATATATTTTTTTATTAAAAACACACTATTTAACATGTTTTAACTCTTTTATTTATATAAATCTTGCATAATTAGGTTAATATTTGCAATCAAACTCATCTTAGATGAAAAGAGTATCTTATGGATATTTTAATTTAAAATAAAAAAAAATTTACGCAATAATTGAAATAGGAGATATTTTATACATTTTTATTAAAATACAAAAAATGTGATATAATTTACGTTATAATAAATAACCAAAAAATTATGTTTGTTTGTAACTTTTATTTATTTTTCTACAATTTAATACTTTATCTTAACAAATATAAAATTCAATATTATTTTTTTATTTAAAGCATATTATTATTAAAAAGATAATAAAAAACAAACAAATAATCCTAAAATATGCCAAAACTAAGGAATACATACGAGCAAGTGTTTTTTTCTCTAATGATTTAAATATTAATTTATATTCCTTTTCTTATGTTAAAATTATGTAACTTTGATTGTAACAATGATAGTATTTTAATTTGAGAGTGAATAGGTAAAAAGTAAAATAGTGATATTATAAAATTTTTTATTAAAAGATGTATAAAAAATAAGGTAAATAGAAAATAATGGAAAATTAATTATTTATTGAAAAAAGTATAATCAAATTATAGATAAATAAAATTATTATAAATATATTGTGCCTGAGTTTAACCAATAATTTTTAAGAATGGAAGGACTAACATTTAAGTCATCTTAAAATTACAAAAAATAGTTCACACTTATATTATCTTACTACTAAAATATATTTCATATATTTACAAAATTCGTTATTTATGTTCTTTGTACGTGCATAACATTCATACGCGCAACCAAATGATAGAAATAATAATTTTTACAACCATGTGAGATATTTTTTACGATGACGTATATTGTTTATGAGAGATAAAAAATAAATAAGTTTTGATTTCTATTTTTTAAATATATTTTAGTCTTGTAAATTTTATCCAAAAACCAAAATAATGGGGTGTTACTTGTTACAAAAGAGTATAATTGAAAAAAAAAAGGAAAAAAGCAAACCGAATTTGGAACGGCACGCTTGACGGTTTTCATGTCGTCCAATCGGAACCTCGCCGTCGCCAATTTCCGCGGCCAGAGCTCTACTCCACGGCCGCCGCTCACGGCGGTCATTTTATCTCTCCGCCAGAGCACTCTCAATACTATCTCTAGAACATAAATCACAGTAAGCCAAACAATGTTCACTAGCCTTAGAACGTTCCACCGCCTCCGCATAAACGACATCGTTTTGACGCCGGAAATAGTCGCCGGCGTCTGGGAAGGATCGTCGATCCTCCTACAGAACGACAGCAGCGTCGCCATTAAATACACGCCGTCCCCCAGCGCGTGGTGCACACGCAAAACCGCAGTTTTATGCGCCACGAGGATATGGATTTCCCAGAGCGGTTTGTCGGTGGAGAGCGGCGGCGAATTCGAGAGACTCGCGAGGTAATCGTTCACCGCATCTTCGTCAGGATCGTCGGAGAGGCGGCGGCGGATGAAAATCAGGTGGCGGTCGACGTCGACTTCAGTTCTCCGCCAGTGCTCGCGGCCGCCGGAATCTCTCACCACCAGGCTGCAAAACTTAGGGTTAACCATGAGGAGAAAGTTTTGGAGCTCGGATTTTACAGAATCGACGGAAATCTCATTCTCGAAGACAATGGCCCAACTTATGACTTGATCGAGCTGCGGTTGGAGGAAGAGACGATCGGGCGGAGTCACCGGCTCGTCCCTGATATCCTCACTGCTCCGACGATCCGCCGCCATTGTCGACTGATTGTTAAGCTTTAGGGTCTGAGAAATTAAAGGGACGATTGAGGAAGGTGGTGCTGCAAAGCGCTTTAATTCTCCACGCAACACATTTACATTTAATAATACAGCAAATTGAATTTAAATCTACGCCATAAAAGTGATTTCTTTCAGTCCTATATATCCTTCTGTATTTATTAAGCTTTACTATCTGCTTTTTGTTAATTTCTTTTTTAAATATTACTCCTCACTTTTTTCCTTTTTCTTTCTTTCATTATTGCCCTTATTTTTTTAACAAGATTATACTAGCCTTATCACTCTTCTTTTTAAATTTTTTTCTTTCCCATTTTTCCTTATGCTGGTACATTTTGCCCAAAATCAAACCACGCTCCAATTCTTCTAATTGTGGATATCATTTTCAGAAAATGCAAGAAACCTCAATAATTAGCAAACACAAGAAATGTTGGTGAGTAGCAATCTTCTTGTTGCCTCCGGTGCACTTCCCTATCTCCGATAATGACGCGGTAAGAAATCTAGTATTTGTTTGAGGTTTTGGATCACTATTAGAAAAAGGAATATTTGGTGCGGAATGATGTGGTGGTGCCCAACAACCGATTTCTGTTTCAATATTAATAAAAAACTTATGGCGGCAAAAGTTTGTACCTTAATAACTAATTATTTTTTAAAAAATATATTTGACGCGCAAAAAAATGGGCCTTTAATAGTTTATATTTAAAAATACAGACAATTGAAAATAAATATATTTCATTATTTCATATTTAGATTCAGCTCCTATACAATTTTTGTGCACATTGCACTGTTCTTTTGAAAAATCTTTGCTATTAACTTCCTACTTCTATTTCATTTTCAACATTGCCTTTGTCTCAATTCAAAATTAATTTTATCTGTTAATATGCCTTAAATCTAGTTTGGTACTTTGTTGAGTTTTATTTAAATAGACTTAGAGATATAAAATTTGTAACGCAACTTCCTCAATAAATCTGTCTCCGTTTCTGCCGGTGGACATAGCCAACACGTTGTTCGTGAACCACGTAAATATGTATTTTTTTACTTTTCAGTTTGCTATTTGATTATTAATTCTAATTCGTCACAAAATTATCAATTCTGAATTTTCTCTTTGTATGTTAGGTTTTTTTTTTTTTTTCGCACGAAGGAAGGTTCATATGTCCAACGTTCGTTTTTATTCGTGTAAAGGATTTTATGATTGATAGATAGTCTTTGATGGATTCCGAATCAAAATTCCAAACTTTAGGTTTATTTCGTGCGAGGAGAAATGGGTAAGGCGAATGTTTGATTCCTCTGCGTATGATCTTCTTTCGGTGCGATAATTTTGTTGGTTGATTACGATGGTGTTATTAGGGCTCGTGATCAATCTCATCCACGTTCAATTGCAGACAAAGATCGAAACTCAGGTATGATGATCATCTTCACTATTATTTGATATTATAAGAGCTATATTTTGTAAAATAATATTTTTGATCAATCGATGTTCTTATTTGGTTACGGGAGATTTTTGCTTATTTATTAAATTTGCAATAAGAAATTAAGATAAATGATTGTCTACTAATTTAAAAAAAAATTAAAAGTTAGTTTTTAAAACTATTTTACTTTAGTAGTTGTTCTAATTTGTATAAATAATTTAATTATGCCATATTATATATATAATAATAATAATTATATTAAAAATTGTTATATAATTATTGTACGATATATACTAACTTTATAATTAATTTTTTCAACTTATAATTATAGTTTTTTTTTTTATATGAATGTTAAGTTTTTCGGTATTATTGGACTAATTGACCATATTGATGTTCAAAATTTCTGAAGTGAAACTAATTTTACAAAAATTGTATGTATATATAACTATAAATACATCTTAATTTTTTATTTATATTTTATATACAATCTTTAATGTAGATATGATGCTAATAGACAATAAAAGACGATACCGTAAGTATGAATTTAAAATTGTCACGCAAACAATTTTAATTTATCTTTCGATGTTAACTATTCTATTTAAAAAATTTACAAAATTAGATATATTTTACATGTATAAATATACATATATATTACTCCCTCCGTCCCTTAACAATCTATCTATTTTTCTATTTTCGTCCGCCCCATAACAAAGTATCAATTTCATTTTTTAGTAACCGTACTATCTACTTAACAATACAAATACCCTTCCAATTTACAATATATTACATAAATGTTATTGACTTTATATTATACAATACTATTAAGGGTAATTTAGTCTTTTTATCTTTATTTCTACTACATCCTAATATAATACTAATATTCCTAAAACTCTTTACAAAAATTAAATGGATATATAGATATGGGACGGATGGAGTATTTCATTGTTAATTATTTTAGTATACAAATATTTTTTTTAAATATATACATGAAATGATATATAATTAGTACGAGAGTTTATTAACACTTTTATAGACTGTGTTTATATATGTATAGTATTAATTATATTCTCATGGACACGATAAAAAATAAAATTCGTCACATGGTAAATTTAGTGTTAATTGTTGATTAGGTTTAAGAATATTTGTATCATTCTACAAAATATTTGTCAATAATATTACTCTCACTTTTCATTTTAGTATGTCTGCTAAATTTATACAATTACTAATTTTGATAAAGTCAACAAATCAACATTTAATTATTATCGGAAGTGATTGAAAAGGGGTATGATTGTCATTTTAAGTCTAAAAAATTAAAGGGTGGATTTGTATGTACGCAAATCTCTCTTACTCTCTACTCCCTCTTTCTGTCTACTCCCTCTTTCTCTCTTCCTTTTCCCTTTCTCTCTCGCGATCGACCGAATCGCGCCAACAATCGCCACTACCTAGCCGCGGCAGCACCCCCTAGCCCTAGCAGCCGCCGCCGCTATCTTTTTTTCTTTCTCTTTTTTCTTCTGTTTCTATCTCTTCCTCACTTTCTTCTTTTTTTATTTTGATCACCAGTTGCCTAGATATCTTCCGAAAACTGCTATTCTTCCGCAAACCCAGGACCCGCCGCAAACCACCACCGTCGCCCAATTGACCCACTGCGAACCCAAGTTTATTTCGGCATTTTCTAATATGATATTTTGATGCTTATAATTCTGTTAGGATATTAGTTTATATCAGTAGTGTATATGAAAACATGTTTAGAGTGTTTTTTTTTTTTTGGCAATTTTTGGATAATACTCATAATGATTGATAGTAGAATAACATGCTAAACATAATACAGGAGATCCTTGTTCGTATTAAATAAAATGTTGGGTTCAGAATATATAAATACTTATTCATCTTTTTTTTTATATTTGTGTTAATAGGTTTTGGAAAGTATGTTTAGAATTTATTTTTTGTGGCATTTTCTGGATAACATTCATAATATTTTATAATATAGTAATATGCTAAATACAATAAACAAATATGCTTATTGTTATTTAGTAAAATGGTTAGTTTAGTATATGTAAATGTTTATTATACGATGCTTATAATATTTTTCAATTAAATGGTGTGCACAAAGACTGACATTTTTTTGGCATTGTTTCCCTTAGTGCTAGAGTCGTAGCCAAATTTTTATTTGTAACAATAGTTTTTGGTGCACAACCACCCATGCACTTCAAAAAGATATTGAAAACCCACTTCAATGAATCTTATGTTTCTTCGTACAACAACGTTGCCACAAATATAGATATTTGACGGTGATTATTAAATCCACAAAAATACCTAATGTTGCAGTATTGTTACAATCCAATATATGAAAACAACTAACGAGATGTTTACGAGATGTTGTGTACATTGTATCAAGATGCCGATTTATAGAAAATGAAATGTTGAATAATGGAAGATGAAATGTTGACCAGCTAAGTATTGTATTTGATGCAGATCATTTTAGAATAATGGATAATTGATTTTGCTCGTTTCCATCAATTTCATCCATTAATTTTGTTGGAAAAGTCTTGTCATTTTTCTATGTGAGGGGGCGGAGGAGAATGTAAATCTAAGTTAGTTACAAAAGTTAGAAAAATTTGAAAATTACTATCAAACCCCTAAATGAATACAAGCCTTAGGATTAAAAATTGTAATATAATAGTTAATATTGAATCAGCATCATCACGCTAACTTTATAATTCACCATCTAATCTCAGTCCATTATTATTTTTTATTCAACACTTAGTACAACAAATGCCAATACTTTTATTACATTCTATCTCCTCTCTTTTTTTTCTTTTTTTTTTTTAATTTCTAATTTATTTTTCAAAAATACCCTCGACTACCTTTTTATTTTTATTATTTTTTTAATAAAATATTTATTTTTCTTAATCTCCGCGTCGGATCCAAATGTTCAAATTTTTGCGAACGGATAAAGTATTATTTCAATAATTTATATAAACTATGGATCGCACCGATTTAAACGCTGGTTATTACGGAAAGTAACTGACGCTGCTGTAGTGAGATTTTTTTTTAAAAAAAAAACCTCGTTGAACATTTTCCTTGCAAATAGATAGACACTAACAGTGAGTCAACTATTGTAGTGGACATAGCATTAATTAGTTCATCCAAAATTATCGACATCACAGAATGAATGCAAAACTAAAGTCAACAAGATAGGCTGCTTTTAATTCAGCCAACAACGTTTGCTTTGATCAGGTCAAAGTTCTAAATCCTACTCTATCTGATCCACTACTTAACCTGCAATTTAATTTTGATTTTTTTTTTTTTTAATTTTTTTTTTTTATTTTGAAGACAAAATCTATGGTTTGCTTTTTCTTTTTTGTGTGTGTGGATGCATTTATTTTTCGTCTCATATTTTACTTCTTTATTTTATTATTAAAAACATGAGGTGCAGCTATTATTATTATTATTTTTTTAAAAAATAAAAGTATATTTTATCAAACATTTTTTCATTTAAAAATTTATTAATTTCAATTTACTATTCCAACTATGACCACTACAAAAAAATAATATATTTGTTCACGTAGCTGACGTAATTCTATTCCTAATTCTGTCTCTAATGTCATAGTAACGGAAAAAATAGATTTAAGAAAAAAAAAGTTTTGTTACAAAAATAATTTTTTCTTGTAACGGACATTCAATAATAATTATCTATTTAAATTATTGGCATAAATACCTATGCTCAATTATTTATTTATTTTCTTGAACTTTGAAAATAGACAACTAAACAAACACTTGTAGAGTTGTAGTTATCAATATTTAGTAGTAAGTAGTAAGTAGGGTGGTACTTGATAAGAGAGAGGGTGTATGAGTATCCTTTCCTAATTTGCTATAAATACGACCTCATTTGCATGCACACTCTACAATTACACTTTGGTTGTAAATGCAAATATGGCCAAGTCCCAACTCACATCTACCATTTTATCAGCTCTCTTCTTCTTCTGCATGCTTCTCATTGCATCCCACGGTATGCCACTTTCCTTATTCCACATACATATATTCTTCCATTTCAACTTTGTGACATATGAAAATATTGCAAATAATATGCACTACAAAAAAAAATAGTATATTTGTAACGGAATTTTGTTACTAAAGTTCACATAGCTAACGTAATTCCATCTCAAATTCCGTCTCTAATATCAATAGTAACAGAAAAAGTGGATTTAACAACGAAAAAATTTTGTTACAAAATTGATATGTTTTTGTAGTGATGTGAAAAATATAACAGACAATATATGTTATATTTTATATGTTATTATAAATTTATGTCTAATATATTGTCTGATATATATTACGATACTATCAGCTCCGTAGTCGCCGCCTTCTATTATTTGGGGATGGTTACGGTGCCGATTTGAAATAATCTGCTTGATTTTTCACATCAGCACGCGTTATATATACAAATATATAATAAAAGTATTTGTTGTCTTTTAATAATAACAAGTGTGCTTTGTATACATGTATGTCATATGTTAAAATCAACTGTTGTGTGTGTTGTATGAGACTATAGGATATGTTGTATTTGTATTATATTAACATATATAATGTGCTATCTGCAGTAATATTGTGTGCTATTGAGATTATATCATGTATGTTTTATTCGTGTACTATATTTGTATTATATTACACAGTGTGTTGTTTGTAATAATATTATGTCATGTCTAATAGCACACGGTGTGTTGTTCAGCACATTTCTGAATTTTAAATTCAACACTGTAGTCGCCGCCCTATTATTCATATGTTGCGTGTTGCAGAAATGAAAGTAGCCGAAGGTGCAGTGAGACTGTGCGGCAGACTGAGCCAGACATGGACGGGGTTCTGCGGGAACACGGGTGGCTGCAACGAGCAGTGCCGGAGTTGGGAGAGGGCTCAGTCTGGAGCTTGCCATCGGAGGGGCCTCATCGGTTTCGCCTGCTTTTGCTACTTCAACTGCTAGCTCTGCCTCTGCCTCTGCATTCTCTTCCTTTGCCTACGCTCATCCAACCCGCCGCCGCCCCCCCCCCAAACACACACACATATATATAAAATATATATATATATATATAAACAAAATGCATGGCCTCCGATCCATCCTTGGGTATTTCCTACTGTGTATACAATACAATACACTACAATAAAAAGTTGGAGATGGACTGAGAATTCCTGTCTCAATTACTCATCTCTTACTTCCTTATAAATATCGAATCTCTAATTTCTCCTGTCTTGTTTAATTTGTATCAAAGCATCGCTTAATGTTTGCATGTCATGTGGTATGTATGTCGTGCTCGATCGTGTGGGGCTTGCAGTTGTATTGTGTTTTATACAATCTACGACCAACATTCTAAGCAAATATGGGGCTATATATATTTGTTTGTGGTATTGACATCTTTTACTATTCAATTATGGGGTATCTTTATACAATCTACAACCAACATTTTACGCAAATATGGGGTATCTTCTACGACCAATATATTTTTTTTTTGCTTATAATTAACATTAAATATTTATTTTTTATTAAAAATATTATACTATTGTATCATGTTTTTTTCAAATCAAAATATTATATCAAACATTCATTTACATCGCATCAAAAATTAATTGCAATTAGAAAGTTTTACTCTTACCAAAATGACATCCAAACAAATCCAAGGTCAGCTTAAGTTGCCAAGGTGTTATATATATATATATAAAGGCTGTTTGGTGATGGTTGTTATTTATTTAAAATATTTTTAAATAAATGCAGAAAAATCATATTCCTGAAAATTGTAGTTCATTATCGAGATAAAAATAACATATCAAATATTCACCCTTAATTTTACTAAGTAAAAAATATATAATGCCAGAATTTATTTAAACATCATAACCAAATCGATTACCGTTATATTTCACTTAAATGAGGATTCGAAGTGAAAAGGCTGGAAGGATATGGGTAACCATTTAATCTAATAGAGGTGTTAATGGGGACGTTTTAAGGTGAATTAATAAAAAGATAGTCAAGTGAATTAAGAAAAGGGAGGCTGACGATGGAGATGAGCATAACCAACTCATCATATTTTTCTTGATTTTTTGAGAATTTTTATTTCTTTTGAACTGTTTGGCTACATTGAGTTTTCAATTCAATGATTTTCTTTTAGTTTATGATTTCTTGAGTTTTCGTCTACTGGGTTGTTGCTTGATTCATTACAACAATTGAACACGAGACCTTATCCAAAATTATTTGTTAAAATCTACTTAGGAATTCACTTTGATTTATCCGGCTGCTCCAACATTAAAAAAAAAAAAAAAAAAAAAAAAAAAAAAAAAAAAACTGCTGATTGAAATTTTATATATATAGATATTAAAAAGCTGCTGTTGAACTCAAAATAATGAGTTGGGTTCTTGGAGCCGCTGGTACCTTTGGTTATTGGACATAGGGACTGGCCACGGCCACGGGAATGTTTCCGTATGCACGGAGTGTTCCACTGTTAAGGAACAGGTTGCGGATATGATTCGCCATTGTGTATGGGCTCCGGAGCATTATAGCTTTGGGCTTGTGCCGTGTTTCAGAGCACACTATAAATTTGGGTAGTACTGGTGTTTGTAAACAATCGTACAGACACTTGCAATCAGTGTTGGCCGTAATACCCAAACTTGACCGAAGTAAGCGGCTGCAAATTATATATTCCGACACCATCTTCGATTTGGAAAGCCGATGGGGTGTTTGAACTCGCTATCCGTAGGGTTATAGCCAGAAAAGTGTGAATAAGCTTATGAAAAATTCATTTGGATAGTACGGCTGTACTGCCGTGGGTAGTCAGGTTGTGTTTTCTAACCATTAGATGACGCCGGCCACTCTACCTAAGTCGAAGTGAATCCTTCCTGGAGGGATGTTGGGGTCAGTGGAAGACCGGAGGATGTTGGTGGATGACATTGGTTTATTCCGCCGATGTTACTATTCAAAACGAGCCATCATGCGACGTACAAGTCTTTCTGATTGTAATTTGATTAATTGAGAATGATATTTAGTGCGGTACAAATTATTGTCCAACTGGGCGTGCCAAAATATTACCATGAGTTGAAATTTTCTAATCCGATGATAATCAAGGGCTTCTTTCCAGAGGATTTAAAGTAATTGAATCCTTACTTCGTACAAAACGCAGTAGCCCGACGTTTAATAGTAAAGAAATTTGAAAAGAAAAAGAAAGTGCAAAAAATAAAATAAATTACAGGAAAAGAAGGAAATATAAATTTGATTGAGATGCGTTAATATGAGTTTACAACGGATACATCAAATCCTATTTTTAGAATTTAAACGATGTTTGCGAACCGACAAGTCATTTCGATATAACTAATAAAACAAAAGGGACGCAACCCTTCAATACAAAATTACGAAAAATTGCATCCATAGCCCTTTCCAAGTTAAACTATGATTTGGGCATTAGGGATTTAGTTGGATACACAAATCTCAGGTTGGTTTGGCTTGAATTGAGAAACAAGAGATGTTGCAATAGGTTCACAATTAAATACAGCTTGCAAGAGATCAAAGAGACTGATTAGTTTGTCATTCTCTACTAAATAAGGATATATATATATATATATTAAAAAAAAAATGTTACTCTATTAGGTAAAAACAGGTCTTTGCACAAGGAGCTCTTCCACCATTTTCATCCTCTCTGTCCACAATAAATTGTGTGTTTGTGTTTTTTTAGTGTATAATTAAAATGTTTTAACTTATATACACAATTTCTCAAAAATTATACTCCCTTTATCCCGGAATTAAATATTCATTTGCTTTTTGCACGTAGTTTTAAAAATATTAGTATTATATTGGGATAGTAAGAATAAAGTAGAAATGACTAAAATAACTTTATTAGTATATGTGATACAGAGGTAATGACATTTGTGTAATATATTGTAAGTTGGAAGGGTATCTGTAATGTCAGTAGATAGTACAGTTACTAAAAAAGGAAATGAATACTTTGGTATGGGACGGACTAAAATTGAAAAATAGATACTTTGTTATGGGACGAAGGGAGTAATAAAATTAATTTTTTCTTAAAAAAAAAATATATTAATATCCATATGAGTAAATAATGAAAATTATTAATGTATAACACATTATTATTATTATTATTATTATTATTATTATTATTATTGTTGTTGTTGTTGTTGTTGCAAGCAGTTGTTCATTTAAAATATAATATTTTAGAAATTGTTTAACTTTATAAATAATATGTTTTAAATTACTACTTAGTGTTAAATATTGTATATTATAAATAATAGATTTGTTAATATGATAAAGAATTTTTTGATGATGAATTTTTTTTTTTCTTTTTTTTTTTTTTAATTTTTTTATATGTGAATAAAAGAGTTATCTTTTAAAAGTGACATTTTTAAACATTGGGAGCAATTTTTCGTAAGGAGCAGAATGATACGATATATTGAAAATTTTATTCGTATATCATACCATAAATAGTGGTATTGGATTTGTTGTTACCGTTTTGTATAGCAACTCTGGTCAAGGATAATACTCGAATAATTGATCACAATGTAGAAAAAAAAAAAAAAGAGCCACGGAATCTATTTTTCTTTCCGGAAAGCATCTTTAGAAAATATATTTCTTAAGCTTGGTGTGTTCTAACTATTTTAAATTATTAAAGATAATCTTTTTATTTAAAAGCATTATTTTTGTTTTTTTAAAAAAATTGCATATATATATATTTTTTTTTTAAACTTAGAAGAATTCATCTCTAGATTAAGGGGTGTATTCAATTGAGATTTTAATTGATTTTTTTGGATTTTAAAAAGTCTATGGATCTACGTGGATTTAGAAAATTCACCGAGTCTACGTTGCTGAGTTTGATGGAATTTAGCAATTGATTTAGATGGATTTCTACGGATTTGATTGAATTCCTTATGAATTTATATGGATTTTGTAGAATTGTAAAATAATTTTTTTTTATGAATATATATTAATTATAAAAAATTTATATCAAACAACAAATTTTATAAATATAATAAATAATTATTAATAAAATAATATTTAATATTAATAAATAATATATAAGTATTAATAATGTAGAAGTATTGTAACATCGGTAATACTACTATATTCTAAATTATTAATTTTTAATTTTATAATTTTAGTATTATATTATTATTCAATATATCAAATTAGTTTTATATTTCTTTATTAGTTATTATTATTATTTATATAACATTTTTACATAAAAAGTAAATACGTATATAAATAAAATAAAAAATATAATTTACGATTTTTGAAAAGAATATTAAAATAAATAATAAATTTAAATTAACTGTTCAACAAAAATTGAAAAGAAAAGACGACAGTAATACATATTTATTGTGATAATAATATTTTTTTAAATTATATTTATAATATAAAAATATATATTTAAAAAAAATCATAATAATTTGCTAATATATTTTAGTTTTAAATTATTATTTTTATTAAAAATTATAATAATAGTAATAAATATTATCATATTATTGATCACATATACTACAACAACGACGACGACAACGACGACGACGACAACAACAACAACAATAATAATAATAATTTTAAGAATCCATCCAAATCTGCTATGATCAAGAGAGATTCTTTCCTATACAAAATTTTCACAAATTTTCATTAAAATCCATTGAAATCCATAGATTTTGAAAGTCTAATGGATTATTGAATATCTCAAAGATTTTAAAAGATTTTTAAAATTCTATATTGAATACCTCAAAATTTTAAAAGACTTTTAAAAGTCGGGATTGAATACTTCAAAATTTTAAACGACTTTTAAAAGTCGGGATTGAATACTTCAAATTTAAAAGACTTTTAAAAGTCGGGATTGAATACTTCAAAATTTTAAAAGACTTTTAAAAGTCGGGATTGAATACTTCTAAATTTTAAAAAACTTTTAAAAGTCTTGATTCAATACACCAAGATTTTGAAAGTCCTAACAAAATTCTACAAAATTTATATTGAATACACCCCCCTAAAAAGAATTGTTTGAGTATTAATATGACTTCGACCTTTTAGTTTTTACTTTTTCAAAGTT